TCAGTGTCAACTTCAGAAAAGTCGGTAGTAGCATATATTACAATGTTATTTTTGCGGGGTAATATTTGATTGAACTGGATGTGAGCCGTTATAACTGCATGATCTGACTTTCCTATGGGAGAACTGACTTCGAGAGATGAAATCAGCTGTTCGTCATTAATAAGCACTAGATCTAAAGTAGAAGTTTGGTTATTATTCCTAAATCTAGTAGGTTCTGTAATGAGTTGTATCAGGTTTGAATTTACTACAAAGCTTTTAAATAAATTATGAGCGTTTTCGGCGTCAGATAATGAAGTTATTGGCCAGGTGATCTCTGGGAAATTAAAATCTCCAGTAATGATGAGATTATCAAGAGATGATAATTCTTCATGTTTTGTGAAGAAAACATTTATCGTGTGCAAGTAGTGTATTAGGTGGACGATATATACATACTAGATTAAGGCAAAAAGAATTTTTAGTAACAGATAAGTGAATTGCATCTATTCCAGTAATATCTATTAGCTTGAGGTTAATTTTGAAAGTTGTGGTAATAATATTGGATAAATAAATGCATACACCGCCACCCACACGATTTTCTCTGTCTTTACGATATATTGTATATCCATTTATATTAACAGAGGAGTCTGGAATTGTGGGTTTGAGCCAGGATTCGGCAATACAGATAATGTCCGGTTTAAGAAGTTGCACTGTGCATACAAATTCGTCAAACTTAGCGGAAAGTGAATCTAAATTAGTATATAGAAATAGCCAGTCATTAAATTTGTTGGTAGAAAAATTATGAACGAAATTTCGTGATTCTGGGAGTGCCATTGATGTATTTAATAGTTAAATCATGTTCACCGTTATTTTTGCGAGTTTCTAGCTCACTTCGGAGTTCTTTTAAACGTACTTGTTGGATGGGCGTCTTGTCGTCAAATATTGAGAATTTTTCCGTGGCTTTGTTTTCCAGAAGTTTGGCTTTATTTCTCAGAATATCTTTAACGTGGTATTCCGAACCCATCACTACCTTTATCATTCGGGGAAATCGTTGGTTTGCTTTGCCGACTCTGTAGAAGGTGATTTGCTTTTCCTGGCAGCCAACAGTATCCAAAACAAGCATATTATCCGTGAATTCGGTAGACTTAAATAAATTAATCTGGCTGAGCTTATCGTTTAACTCAGTTATTTTATTATCAAAATCATCAATTTTCGCACGAATTTCCATTTTAAAATCTAGCAGAAGATCTTTTCAGTTCAGTCCTCGAATTTTCTGTCGGGTGACGCGATCCTCCGATGAAAGGTCGGTGCATGTGATATGTATTTGACGCTTACATCCATCGCACTGGAGTTTGCGGTCAGCTGTCGCTATGGTTTTCGAGCAGTTCGAACAAAAAGAGGTGGACGGCATTGTCCGGTTTTTTGTGTATGTAATTAGTATTTGGTTTTATATTAATATATTGTGGAATGATACTCACAGTAATTATTCGCTGTAACTGCACTTTTTACACAAAATTTTTACAAAAACTACTGACTATTGGTATATGGAACAATCATGCAAAATTTCTTTGCGAAATAATTATTTTCTACAGAATAATCGTGAAAATCAATACGAGCACAAAATTTTTCGTGTGTTCGTCAACCAACTAGCAGGTTGTAATCGCAGACTTCTTTCTTTGAAAAAAAGAAGAATTATTCTAAATAGTGGAAGTGTATACTAAACCCATCAAATTTTCCCTGTATATTTAAAATATAATATTTGAATTGTTACAATTTAAAATATTGTAGTAAATATTTGTATTATTCGCGTTGCTTATTTAATTTAATATAGTTTTATTGTTTTATTATCTTTGTTTAATTCTTTTGTTAGTTCTATTCAGTTAATTAGTTAGTTATATTTTAAATTTTATTATTATGGATAGTCAAAGTTTTCCATTTGTTCCATCAGCTAATGTGTTGGTAAAGTTTTTCTTAAATAAACATGATAAAATGTTTTTTAAAAGTTAATATTTTTAGATTAGTTGTTTCTAATTTAATATAAACTTGTTTATACCTACATGGAGGTTCTTGTTGTTTGTTTGGGTTTATATGACTGCAGGACTGCGGCCAGGACACTGAATTCATTAACCATATGTGGAAGATTTTAACATCCTCAAATGCTAATGAGCAAAAATTACTATTGAATCACGAATTTGCCTAGTCAAATTACTAATATTTGCTTTTAGCATATGGAAGTACACTTATTTTGTAAGATAATAAAACAACAGTTTATGTTAATGCTATCCAATAAACTGTTAATCTTTAATCATTGATTCCATCCTAGTAACAGCATAAGGAACTTGCTATGTCTTATTTAACCTCACTTTGACTTTTTAATTTTGTAAAATTTATTCCACTTTTTTTATTTTGTACAATAAATAATTTTATTATTTGTTATCAATACATTATACATTGTAAATAAATAAATATTGATTGTCGGCAAAGTTCTATTTTATTTACTTTTGTTTACATTAATATTGACTAAGAGCACGTATGCTTGGTTGTATAGTAATTTCCAGCCACTTCGAGTCTGTCAAAAAGTAACTAACTTCGCAAAAAAAAAAATTACTAAAATCACTAGACAGTTCGGACTGGGAATAGCGAACCGGGTATAGAATACAAAGCTTGACAATTCTGAACAAATTGAACTGAAATATTTCTGAAATCGATGCCGGGATCTGTCTTTTTCCTTTTATCTGGATTATCAAACCTTTTTCCTGTACCATTTGTCTTAATTATTGTCTATACTCTCGTTATTCGATTTCAATATTGTTGTAAATACAAGAAGTCCTAAAAATGCATTTAGTTCTGCTTTATCAATAGCATCTGTGAGTTTTGATTTTTATATGTTGATCGAAGCTTATATATTTTGTTATTTGTTCATCATCTTTGGCTCTACAACCCTGGGTGGGTCTTGGCCTGTTCAAGAATTAGTCTCCATTCCTTCCTATCTTTCGCCCTGGCTTTCCAATTTCTGACCCCTAGATTCCTCAAGTCATCTTCGACTTGAGTTTTGAATCTAGATATTGGCCTGCCTCTCTTCCTGGTTCCTACTGGCTCTTGATAGAATATATGTCTTTGGGGGTCTCCAGTGCCCATTCTTTCAAGGTGTCCTAACCACATTAGTCTATTAATTTTTAAAGACCGGACGATGTTGCATTTTTCATAGCATTGATATAACTCAAAATTGTAGCGCCTGCGCTATATCCCGCTTTCGTGTACTCCTCCGTATATGTGTCTAAGTATTCGTCTTTCAAAGCGGCCTAACAGTTCTTCGTCGCTTTTTACCATAGTCCATGTCTCTGACGCGTATGTCAGGACAGGTTTAATAAGAGTTTCATATATTATTAGTATCTTAGTTTTTCTGCTAATTATGTGTGATGTTAAGAACTGCTTTAGTCCAAAATAAGCTCTGTTCGCCAGGTATATTCTTCTCTTAATTTCTACGCTTACTAGGTTGCTGTTATTTAGTTGTGTTCCAAGATATATAAACTCCGAGACCCCTTCGCCGTTATTTGTGTGCTGTTCGTGACCTTCATTTATTTTGTTTTGGATACGTTAACCTGCAGTCCCATTGTCTTCGCGGCTTTTTCTAATGTTTCAAAAGCCTGAATCAGGTCTCGCTTTGTCCGTGTTACTATGTCAATGTCATCTACGTAGGCCAATATCTGTACACTTCTATTGATGATCGTACCTCTGGTTGTTATGCCCGATTTCTCTATGGCTCTTTCTAGCGCGATGTTAAACAATAGACACGATAGACTGTCTCCCTGGCGTAGTCCAGTATGTGTTTGAAAAGACCTTGACACTCTGCTTTGTACCTTGACTTTGCACTCAACTTTCGAAAGAGTTGCCTTTACCAATGTTATTAGGTGCGACGGAATAGTCTAGTTCTGCCATGGCATTATAAAGAGCGCTTCTGTCTACACTGTCATCAGCACTTTTAAAATCTATGAAGAGATGATGAGTATCAATTCCATATTCTTATGTCTTTTCTAAGGTTTGTCTGAGAAGGAAAATCTGATCAATTGTTGACCTTTCTTTTCGGAAAAACGATCATAAAGTATATAAGCCAGTATTTTGTAAGCCGTAAGGAGGGTAATGCTTCGATAGTTGTCACATATTAGTGGACCCTCTTTCTTACTTAAGGATTAAATTTTATGTTAGTTTCAAAGCTTGGGATCCCTTTCATCTAGTATTATTTTAACTATAGCCGTGTAGCTCAGGGAAATAAGATTTCCCTCGGGACTGTGACCATTCCAGGTATATGAATTTTTTTTAGTTATTTGTAGCAGGTCCGAACAGGGTCTTTCTTTTGCTTATCTCTCTCTACTAATATTTTCTGTGGTCAAGTTACCAAATGTACTAATATACAGGGGTTGACGCGTCTACTAAACGACTACGTTTTATCATGACACCGATACAACTGTCGTGTAGTCTGAAGCCGTTTTAATCATTTTCGACAGCGTTGCCAGATTTAAGAGCGTTGCCGAACTTATGCCGATTTTTCGAGAGCGAGCATTAAGTAAAGTAAGCCCTTTACTTAATTCAAAATTCATATTTCCTTGTCCTTTACATTTACTGTACAAAATATGTAAGTCCTTTTAATTGTTCAATAATTGTTTGATGGTGACTTGAACAGAATGATGTTAATGGTGCGATGTAAAGAACATCCACTTGATGCATCTAATAGAAAACCTCGTACCTTTGATACTTTTTGATTATTTGAGGAAATGTTAGATGAGTCCAATTGATTCCCAAAATATATAGTTCAATTTAAAAGCTAATATAAAATTCACAACGTACTACTCAGATTTTGTATTGTCTAAGTACTATTTCCCGAATTACATTCTAACCTGCTAAGTGCAAATCAATTCAAAGAAAAGAAAAAAATTTTAGGCGAGAAAAATAGTTCGTTTGATGATTTGCGTTATTTCAAAATTAGTATACATCTCTATCACATCAACTTTTCAATACTCTAAACTTCATATGTGGCTTCTTGAAATAAAGTGTAAACATAAATGTTTGTTTCAGCTCTTCTCTGTGATCATATTTGGATGTATATCATCTCAGGGTTGGAAACTTGATGCTGGAAAGAAAAGACATCTTTGCCTCTACAACGAAGACGCAAATGCATGTAATTACGGCGTTGGAATAAGTGTTATAGCATTTTTGGCCAGTATGGGACTGCTTGTTGGGGAATATCTTTTTGAACAGATGTCGTCAGTCAAAACAAGGAAGCACTTTGTGTTAGGCGATTTGGGATTCTCTGGTAAGTAACAATAAATTTATTTTATACATTTTTTTTATTCCTGTGGTGCCTCGAATACAAAGTTTAGTAAGTTAGAGACCATTGAAGAATTATTTACAGTAGTCATTACTACTTGAACTAGTTGTTTTCTTTTTTTCTTTCATCTTAATATCAGGTTGAAGTTGAAGAATACAAATTGAAGTTCACACCTGAGTGAAGTTCAATTTGTATTCAGAGCAGGACTCAGAACGAGGGAAGCACTTTTTAGTTTGCAAGTTTTAATACAGAGAGCCAGGATGTCAATTGCGATGTGTATGCATGTTTCATTGATTTCGAGAAGGCATTTGATAAAGTCTCGCATGGGAAACTAATCGATATCCAAAAAACATTAGGACTCGATGGTAAGGATATAAGACTGATTTCAAACTTATATCTCCAACAAAAAGCAACAGTATGATTAGAAAATGAATTGTCCTAGATCTTCACAGTCGAAAAAGGACTTAGACAGGGTTGCATATTGTCACCGGTATTATTTAACATATACTCTGAAAACATCTTTAGAGAGGTTTTGGACGAATCAGAAGATTGGATTGCTGTAAATGGCCAACTCATAAACAACATCAGATATTCAGACGATACAGTGTTGCTGGCAGATAGTGCGCAGGGGCTCCAAAGGATGATGGATAACGTTGTAGAAGCAGGTAACAAATACGACCTAAAACTAAATTACAATTAACGATACACCTTTAGAAAGGGTTGAAAAATATGCTATTTGGGCAGCAATATTAAGGCTCATCCTCGAAAATCCTAACGGTAAATTTCAGTTTGCTATCTCTATTTCAAAAATTTCTTTCTTTACGAAAACAAAATCTGTTCATCAAGTAATATTGTAAACTTCGTTTAGATATCTCTCTCAAGCCCAGGTCAAAAATGCGTTAATCTTTTCGTCGAGCCGATTATACACCGGGACAACCCCTGCAGTGACAGGTTTTGGCTTACAATAAAACCATAAATCTCTTTAGTGGTGTTTTGAGTAAATATAATAACAGATCAAAGTAATATAATCTATTCATAAATTTACAATGTAACAAATGTACATACATAATTTATTTGTTATTTTTTTAAGGAAAAATTGGCTGTCTGAATTTTAACGTAGATTAAAGTTTACGGAAAATAAAAATTAAAAAAAGATTATTATTATATATCATAAAAATTTGATTAGTATCACGATCATTAAAATTGATAAAATGAAACTATAGAAATATAGAATTATGTCTAATATTTCTTCAGAAGGTGTTTCAAATAAAAATTATAATAAAAATCTTGAAATTTTTGTAGCATATTTTCCCACAGTTCCATATATTTATCAATCTTTTCGAATAAAATATTTTTTGGGGTCCATACCGCAAAGCTAACAGTATTCTCTATTCGATATAAATAACAAAATAACTGTCCTTGCACTGGATAGTAATAGGAATCAGTTCTTTTTAAAATTTCTTGAAGGAAGGAATAATTTAGTCACGCTATCATTTCCAATTTTGATTTTTGATATTGAATTTGATAGGTTGTGGTTTATTACACCAAAATCTAATAAAATATAACATGACACAAGAAATAGTTTCAGAATAAGTTTGATGTGTTGTTTATTATCATTCAATAAGAGACTAATTTACTTCTTACAATGCTAATCTAACAGACAATTATTATTGTCAAATGAAAGAAATAAGATAATTTACTTGTGTGCTTGTGGTTAGTAAACGTCGGCCCTATGCAACTAATTGTCAACAAAGAACGGATTACAAAAGTTTAGATTTATGAGATTTATGAGGAGCATTTATGAAACTTAAATGTATACTGAGTACTTATTTCAAAAATTTACAACTAAGGATTTAATTTGTTATATGTAAATATACTCCTAGATCTAGAGAAAATGGGAGTGCGACAATGGGAATTACTGGCACAGGACCGACAAACATGAAAGGCAATAGTAACCGCGGCAAAGACTTACGAAGAGTTGTAGCGCCATTGATGATGATGATGATGATGATGATGATAAAATATATTGTATAACTATTTATATGGATGTGAAATATAGATCATGAAGGATAATATGATGGACATTTTAGGATGTAGGTTGAAAAATTAATGCAAATATCGAGCACAAATTTAATAATCAAATCTTGCCCAAGTACTTTCGCTTTCTACAGCATCATCAGGAGCATCTGAAATAAGCCAAGAAAAGTTTTTTTAAATGAAGAAAATTAATAAACTTCGATAAAAAACTCGAAGTTAATGGATGATAAAAGTTTTTTGTGATTAACATTTTAGACTTACTTCGTCAAATTTGGGCTATCCAGCAAGCGCAGATGCCCCTGATGATGCTGTAGAAAGCGAAAGTACTTGGGCAAGATTTGATTATTAAATTTGTGCTCGAAATTTGCCTTCATTTTTTAAAGTTCATTTATTCGAGCATTCAACCTTATATCAATAATTTAGAATGTGACTCAGGTATATGATAAAGTATGGCAAAGACGCCATAAACTATAAACTAAGACTGCATTTACCAAAACGATACTCTCAAATAATTGACTCCTGCATCTTGGAAAGATATTTCAGAATTAAGCAGCAAGAAACATACACGGAATTGAAAGATATTACAGCAGGGCTGCCACAAAGAAGTGTCTTTACCTTTTGTATAGGTGTTATATTATTGTCCTAGAAAATATACAATTGCAACATTTACCGAAGATATTGCTATCATAGCAATATGAAAAACCAGCGAGGAAGCGACAAAGAAATTACACAGATGTTAATCAAATATATACTCCAGGGAAATAAGCAAAAAATAGACCATGTTCGTGACACTCAATAATCCAGATCGCTGACAACTTTTTTAGTTATTGTAGACCTATAGGAAGAAACCTACTTACTTGTTTCTTGCCTTGAATTTGGAGCTGTTTTTTAATTATTGACAATTTAATGCAAAAAACGAGATTCTTTCTATGATTATTGATACTAGTATTAAAAAAAATAGATTTTTGGAAGAAAATTGTTTTTGCACGAATTATTTAAACAAACTAGACTATTTATTAATTAATTAATATATAAACAAATTACTAATTTCTAATGTACGTATAAATTATATACAAATTAAAAAAAGAATGATCAAAAGCCATTGAGTATTTTAATGTATTTTAATGTATTTTAATAATATATTTATTTTAAAGATGTATTTTAACAAAAAATACAAATCCCATTCCTTAAACATGGCATCAATGAGGTTCCTTAATTATTATAATCAAATTAGCTGTAAATTATCATCTTTTCTTTGACTTGATCTACTACTTGTTGTAATTGGTCGTAAATCACTTCCCTTGTTGTTTGAGGCTTATTATTTTCTGGGCCGTATACTCCGATAATGTTCAGGTTTTCCTTCTCCATTCTTATCTTTTATGTTACTATTCTTTCTGATATGTATTGACACTCTTTGATGTAATTTTGATACCTTTGGTGTATTAGTAAGGCTACACCTTCTTTGGCCCTGTTTTCTTTTGCTACTCCACTGTAGATTAGTATGTATTCACCTAATTTTGATTGACCTTTTCCTTTATTTTTTGTTTGCTGTAGAGCACAAATGTCTATTTCTTTCTCTTTCAACACTTAGGTTATTTCTTGGTCCCTTGAGTTGAGTGATCTGATATTCCAAGTAATTCTCATCTGGGTTTTGGATGTTTTTCGCTTGTCCTTATTTCTTGCCGTAGTCGTCTTCATAGTATCAATCCGGTTCCGAGACTGTACATTGTTTCTTTGAGCAGTATTTGATTTTACGATTGGTAGGTTGCTAACCAATAAATATAACTAATTAAATTTCATATTCAAATACTGCAAAATATTTGGTTATTACTCTGAGCTCATATAAAGAAGAAAAGAAAATAATAATTCTGATTGAAATACAAAAAAAAATGTACTGGATGATTGACCAAAACTCTACGCTGTTTCTATATAATAAATTATTATTATACATACACGGAACACACACGGAATTATTATAAACAGAACAGTATTATTATAAAAACAGTATAAATATTTAGAAGGAAAATGTCACTAATCAACAGAAAATATTTCTATTCATATAAAAATTTAAGAAAATTATAGGTACTTACTGCTTATTTATATAAAATTTCCTATTTTAAATACAATAAACACACTGGTTTGTCAAAAGTCGGAATAAGCCCTAATAATGTTATTCAACTTTATTTATTCTCCTCCGAGGGTTTTACCTACCTGGCGAGAATCCAGAAGCTACCGAGAAGGAGAGCCTGTGCTGACGGAGAGAAAAAAGTTTTTTAAAAGTTTATATCAAATAGCTGCTTTCTGTTACACGTTATGTTAAAAATAAAAACAGATTCGGAAAGTGGGTCAAATTCTGTAGTGCCCTATTTAAAAAAAAAATTACGTTTATTTTAACCAAAAATATTTGAAAAAAAAATATTGTTTAAACAATTTATTAATTTACAAGTAAATAGTGCACTAGAACTTTTTTAGATCTTCCATATAAAAAAAGAATCATCTCAATATCTGCCATAGTTTTTGCGTTATTTGATATAAAACTTTTACATTGCAATTTACCTATGCCCAGAATCGCGAGGATCGGCCTTAAGGATACTTCAGATCACAGCTACGAAATAAAAACTCGTATGGAAAAAGGCACACTTTCAACAGCCTAAGGAAGATTATCTGCAACTTATCTTTAAGTATCAATATATGAATAAGAATTCTTAGATGTTACGTCTTTAGTGTCCTCCTCTATGGATTATAAAACTGGAGCCTTACAGAAGATGCTATAAAAGATTGGAGGCATTTGAAATGTGGTGCTACCGACGTATGTTGAGGGTCTGATATATACACCACACAAGTAAAATAACTATTCTCCAGAGGCTAAGAAAAGACAAAAAAAAATTATTAACACCATAAAAAACAGAAAATTGGCTTACTTGGGCCACATCATGCGTAATGATAAATACCGACTTCTACAGTTGATTTTACAGGGCAAGATTGAGGGTAAGAGAAGCCCTGGACGTAGATGTATATCCTGACTGACCAATCTTAGAAAATGGACTGGTCTAACGTCAACTAATCTATTTCGAGCTGCTGTGAATAGAATAAGATGAGTCAATGTGGTCGCCAACATCTCTAGAAGATAGGCACATTTAGAAGAAGAATATCAGGAAAATTCTCAATTTTCTCCAATACCTTCCGAAGATTCGTTATATATAACTTATATTTTCTAAGGTATACATTTCTTTAAGTTTTATAGAACTTATAGCTGTTTTAGCTACTTTATCTAGTAGTGTCTGTGTCCTGCCATTGTTTCTTGGCTTTTCCCCTTCTGATGTTCACTTAATTACTCTTTCTTAGTTGTGTTTTTTGCTTTCCTGACCACCTAATTCTCTGTGCTTTTATTATTATCTTTAACATTTTTTCTTCTTTATAAGTAAGACTCGTAGTTTCTGCTGCGTAGTATAGACTGCTAGTATTATTATTGTTTTATTCTCGCTCATTTTAATATTTTTACTTACCATTGTATCTTTTAATATATTTTAATTTGCATATATTGGTGTACAGCCTTGTTGTATTCTTTGGCAAGCAATAAAGGAAGGCAAACGACGCAAAATAATCAGGCAATCATCTTGACAGACGACCAACCTGACACAAGCACATCTTTACCAAAAGAAAACAACTTGACATTCAATTTATATGTATGTACCGGTTGATTGATCGAAACTGTAAATTAACATTGGATAACAAACTGCTTATATACAAGAAATCCACAAGTCCATCTGTACATCTGGTATTCCGCTTTTGGGCGACAGTAGCAATTCTAATCTTGCAATCCTCCAACACTTTCAGAATAAAGTGTTAAGGATTATAGTAAATGCCCCATGATGTTACATCCTCCTCTATAGAAAAAAGTCTGGAAGTACCTTCAGTAAAAGAAGTAATATAACAAGTAAAAGTGTCAAATATGGTGATCGCCATTTCAATGCACTCGCCAAGCGGTTATTAAATATTAAACCGAATGATCAACCAAACAGATTTAATGTTTAAGGTCAACCAACTGTATTTTAAATTCTACCGTAATTATGTGATATCGTTGATTGAACGATGATATGTAATTATGATTGTGTTTTTTTTTTATTATTGCTTTTAACGTACATACTTTTTAATTAAAGTACGAATAATAAATTGGTAACCTTTATAGTTGCTAAATAAAGAAAAGGAATTCTATACTAGAAGAGGCTCCTACACGCTATGTCTTCCTCTTCTTCTTCCTTTTATATAGACATAACTGTCTGTTTTTTAATGTGCCTCCAGTAAGTTATCGTTCCATCGTTTTCGTGGTCTTTCTACTGATCGTCTTCCTATTGGGGAACCGTCTTTTGCCGTCTTTACTACTCTATTTGTTGTCATTCGGCTTCTATGATCGTTCCATTCCACTCTTCTATTTCTGATGACTGTTTTGTAAATTCTGCCTTTCGTTTCTCTCCGATATTTTTATTTCTCTATATTATTTAATTCAGGCAGCCTGCGGCTCTGTTTGCTATATTCACTTGATCTTCCACTTCCGTTTCGAGCTTTCCGTAGCTAGATAATGTGATGCCTATATATTTAAACTCAATCACTTGTTCTATTACACAAATTGTACAAACAAATTTTGTATTTTGAGAACGATTTCCGAAGTGGAAATTGAAACGTCAAGAAACGTATTTTGATCTTTAATTGTGGCTTATTCCCAGTTAAATAGTAATTACTTTAATTTTTTGTTCAATAAACAGCTTCATCGAATTCTTTTCCAATCCAACCATTTTTATGTTTGTTCTTTATTCGTCCTATTGTTTTTTCTGCTGTTTTTACTACTCCCTCTTTGCTTTGTAACCATTCTTCTCCTATACTATTTTCTATTAGTGTTATTTTTAATCATCTGTCTAGTTCTTTTAGTTATGACTAAGAAATGATCTTAGTGTCGACAGTGGCTTAAAGGTTCGTACATCGTCAATTGAAGTTCTTTTTTTCTCCTTATTAACACACAAAAAATTGCTTATATCTAGTTTTATTTTAAAGAATTTTAATTACTCACTTAAAGAGACTTGCAGTGTATTATCTGAACTTTTTCTCTTGTTGATAACTGCTAAAATGAATAGGGTTACAATCTGGGAGGAGGTTTTTGGTCTTCTGTCTTTTCAAGGAATTCAATGGAATCTTAATTTCAGATGGGCTTGATTCAGTAGTAGCTGTCTCTATCACCTTACCCAAGACAGACTAATATTATAATCAACACTACTAAATAAATTGAAAGTTAAAGATTTAATAAGCATTAATTTTCATGTTTATGTGGAATTATGTCTTCATTCAAAAATTGTATAACTAACGAAACAAAATATTTTAGCATTCTGGGCATTCCTTTATTTTGTTGGATTTTGGTACCTCGCCAGTCAATGGGGGAAATCCGAACCACCTCCAAACGGTGTTGGTGTAAACAACGTTCAGGCTGCCATAGCGTTTTCATTTTTTTCCATATTTGCATGGGTAAGTACATATCGCAAATCATCCATTCTTAATGACCTTTATTATTATAATCATTCTATTTGATTTATTTATTCTAGAATTTAATATTGAAAATAATCTTTTTGTTTGAAAGAATAAACTAAGGATCCATCATAACAGCAAAATAAATATTAGTTAAAAAGAACCTGAATGATGTTTCCAATTCATTTCAGTAAATCTCAGAGACAATTTTCTCAATATTCGTGAGATACATTGATAAATTGAATATATAAAGCATGCAATATTCTGGAAAATGTGAACAAGACAGATGTTGGAATGTATTCGATATCAATAAAATAAAAACGAATAAAAATATGCCATCTAAGGCCTTTTATTACCAATGCTTAACCCGGTTAAATGGGTTAAAGGTTAAATTTTTAAAGAGTCTATTAAATGAGTGTACACTGTGCGGCAATAAACAGAGAAAATAAAATTTAATCCTCTTTATATTACTCACTTACAGAGTGGTTTGTTGCTGTACATATTGATATTTAAAAATCAAATTCAGAATAATCTCTTTTTGTGAATGTTTTCTTTCGAAATGAGACACGAAATTATAATTGATAATCAATGGTTTTTTAGGCTGGTTCTGCATATTTCGCGTATCAACGTTTCCGTCAGGGTGCTGGAGCAGCTTTTGCTACAAATTACGAGAACGAAGCGGGAATGCCCTCGTCGTATCCCTCTTACCCTGGAGGACCCGAAACAGATACACCCTATCAAGAACCACCTTTCTCGGCTGGGCCTAACCAAAGAGGTAAGTACTTTAAAGTAGTAAATATATTGGTACAGCTTGTCAAACTTAACGTGATACTTGGCCGATTTGAAATTAGGCTCCACCCACGATGCGCATTCGACCACAACACAATTCGTCCTTATTATTTCTTGGCCCTTCGAAGTGCAAGGTACTTGTATAGTCTGCGACAAAGTTTTTTTTATTTTACTTATGTTTAAAGTTACTGTGTGTTGAAGAAATATCGTATTACAATAGATTTGACTTTTTAAATAATTATTGTTAAGTATTTTAAATTATAAACATGGATTTTCATTCAAAATTAGAAGGCAAAGTCTTGTCTGGACAAACGAGGGAGGTAATAGCAAATGTAATTATTTTTATGCAGAGAGAAGCGATGCAAAATCCGCATGTTAAAGATTTTAAAAAAGTTCAAAAGCTTACTTCCGTAGCAACGGGAGTAAGTATAGCCACTATAAAACGGATCTCTCGTGAAATGAAAAATATAGAAGAAGGTGCTTCTACATCATTTTCGACGCCTAACAAAAGAATGAGATCTGCCCCAAAATCCAACTTGGGCGATTTTGACAAAGGTTTACTTCGGCGTATAATAATAAATTATTATGTCACGGAAAAACGAGTTCCTACATTGCGACATATAACAAAAAAAATTAATGAAGACAATATTTATACAGGGTCGCATGAAACTTTGAGAAAAGTGATGAGAGATATGGGATTTCGATGGAAGAAAGCGAAGAATAACAGGAAAATCCTAATGGAAAAACCCGATATACAAGTGCTCCGGAGGAAGTTTCTCAGAAATATTAAACAATATAGGGAAGAAAATCGGCCCATAATTTACATGGATGAAACTTATATTCATTCCTCACATATCCATGAAAGATACTGGGGAGACAATACCACCGAAGGTTTACACAAGCCAGTGTCCAAAGGGCAAAGGCTGATTATTGTTCACGCCGGCGGCCAAATGGGGTTCATAAAAAACGCATGTTTGACATTTAAATCTGGTACGAAGTCTGGAGATTATCATAGCGAAATGAACTATAATAATTATAAAAAATGGATTCATGAAAAACTTATTCCTAATATACCAGCCCGTAGTGTATTGGTTATAGACAATGCATCATACCACAATGTCCAAGTGCAAAAATGTCCCACTATGGGGTGTAGAAAAGACGAAATGAAGGAATGGTTAAGACAAAAGAACATTTCTTTTTCAGACGAAATGATAAAAGCAGAATTATATAATCTAATAAAAATTCACAAACCCAGAAATAAAACTTATGAAATAGATCAAATTATGAACAATGCAGGTCACTCTGTCTTAAGACTACCTCCCTACCACCCGGACTTAAATCCAATTGAGTTAGTGTGGGCTGCTCTAAAACAATATGTGGCAAATAAAAATGTAGATTTTAAATTTAAAAATGTTGAAAACATATTGTGATGAGTTTTTCTGCAAATTTTCCCAAGATGAGTGGAAAAAATATTGCGAGCATGCTATTTCTTATGAGCGTTATTATATGGAAAAGGAACCAGCTCTAGACTTAATTGTAGAGGATTTAATAATACATTTGCAGGAAGATAGTGACACTGATAGTGTGGATTCTCTAGAAAATAGTAGTTCGGAGACAGAAGACGAACTTTAATTTTAATCGTGTCTTTTGTGGTGAGTTATAATTAAATTATCTCAAGTGTCTTGTGTAGTGAAGTAATTTGTATCTAAAAGTAGTATTAGACATCAGACTAATCAGTGAGTTTGAGCGCCAGCGGCACCGAAACACCTTTCTGAAGGACGCGTAAACTGAGCATTGAGGTCACGTACCGACAGACGTGGGCGGATGGACAGGCCTTTTGGGCACCCAGTCGCCGAGGAGAACAAAATTCATTTTGCCAATTCGACGACTGAGTGACCGAACACACACAGTTTGGACAGCGAGACATCGACCCAGGTCGATGGCCCACTGTCTGGACAACACATTTAGGGGACATGAGTCCCAAGTAGTCATTCAGTTTTTAGTCATCCAAAGGGAGAAAAGCTCTTCTAGCTACCCCTAAAATTAGGTGGCTTAACCACATACGGAAGATGTTCTATTAAACAGAACCAGAGGAAGGCCCCGTAAAAGATGGATGAACGGCGTAGAGAGGGATCTTAAAAGCATGAACATCAGGCAGTTACGAAGGAAAGTTTCCGACAGGGCGGAATGGAAGAATATTGTTAAGCAGTCTTGTCACATTGTCACAAAGGGTTCTAGCGCCATTAGAAGAAGAAGAAGACGGAATGGTACAAAAAATGCTTTATTTTCTTATGACTGCCAAACAAACAAATTACGCCTATCATAATTGTTGTCTATTTGTATGTAATTACGTGGCTAAAGTTTCTAAACCAAGGCTAAAATTAAAAAAAAAAATCCTTGCAGAGTAGTAAACGATGCGAAATTTACTTTGCTATAATTTAAAGATTGGAATATCTGCGTTCATATATTTATTATAACAACGTATATTTGCGATACTAATAATTTAAATATAATTTTTGCAGGTCAGACAGATTTCCAAGCTCCAACTTACTAAGAAAGAGTCGAACATTTTATTTTTTCAAAGAGTCGACGACATAGAAACACCTTAGTGGAGAACCAGGTTTCGATGATTTTACCTATAAACGGTTACCGTCATTATTGTACTTAGGAATATTCAAACAAACAAGTATTATTAAACCTCAAATATTATGGTTTCTTGTACAAAATAATGGACGATCGTGTAAAATTGACTTAGGAGTTAGCGATTGAAGGGGATGTTGTACTAAATTTCTGGTTCCAAAAATAAATGTTCTTTTTTATCTTTTTTATATCTAGATTTAGAAATATTGGTTTGAAGACATTTTTATGCAAGGTATAATATGTAAAACATTAATGAGATCTAGTATTCGATATTCAGTAAAATATTTAGTTTGGTTCTCATTCGGTATTAAATGATAACATTGTTGCCAAAAGTTGCATTTTTTTTATTTGAAACTATCGTTTTCGTTATATTTTTGTATTTTGTACCAGTTATTAGGTACATAAAAAAGAATATGATAATCAAACTTCAATACTAATACAATCAAAAGTATTATATTTGTTATAAACTGATGTATAAGTTTATTTGATTGACGTATACTCTGTCTTTGTTTAGCTTGCTTGTCAAATCTAACCTCACTTAACCAAAAAGTCAAGTTTTACTAAAACTTTTTATTTATCATAATAGTTTATGTTTATTATTTAAAATTTGCCTGCATATCAAATAGAAATTCATAAGTGATACCTAAATCTAGTGTATATCTAAAACACGAATTTTTGCGTGATGATCTAATATTTCGATATTTTTGGAACTTGTGAATTTTACTTCAGCCCCTTCAAAAATTTACAGTATCGATTACATTTGATAGTTTATAACAGGATTAAACGAGACGTAATATCTTTAACAATTATTAATACATATTGGTTTTGTATGTATCAGTTCTTAAGGACTCATTGTTATTTATTCGTAGTCCTATTGTTTTCTGTCTTAGTCAGGCGATTACTAAAATTCGTACTATAAAATTGTTACAGGATATATTGTCGGTTCCGCCGTAATTACATTACTTTTGATGTATTGGATACCGACAGTAAATTTAGTGAAGTTCCAAACTGTGCTCTTTTATCATGAATTAATTCGGATTAAGGATTCAAATATTTTTTTATTATCGATTTTTTCCTTTGGGTATTTACATTGGACCAAAGGTTTGCTAAAACTTTTTTGGGGGTTATATCGGATGGAAGGAAAGAAAGGTTTTGTTTTATGTTAATTTTGAGACAACCTGTAGTAAGTACAAGGTACAAGTGTGGATATACATCAAATTCATGTTGTGGTCTCATGTTTTATAAACATTGTGTTTTTGAAATGTTTCTGATATCTTTAAAAATAAAGAAACTAGACGGTTTTATTGTTTAACATGTGTTTTAACTATATATAACAATAAACAATAGCAACAGTTGAAGAAACTTTAAAAACAGAAACAAACATAACACAAATTAATATCGCGTGTTTCTCCCTCTTCATACCCACGTAAATACACCAAATAATCTTGCTCTCAGGGAAATTCCACCCTAAAACATCATAGAGCCTCAATTAAACAGTCTCGTCTCTCTTACAATGAAATGTGCATGTCGCTCACCTGGTCGACTAATAACTCTTAAGATCATAAGATCTTAAGGTCATCATGATTCTTTCTCTTTTTAAAGTTTTATTAACTGTTGTTATTCTTTATTGTTAATTTAGTATTGTTTCAGTTAAATAATATAACCATATATTTTCTTTTTTTAAACATATCAGGGAAATTAAAAGAAACAAAATATTCACAAAGCATTAGACTGCAACATGATTCTGTCGTGTTTCAAACTTATCGTAAGGTACAAGCCCAAAAGAAAAGGTTGAGTAAACCTTTGCCAAACAGTGTAAATACCAAAGAAAAATATTTATTATTTTTTAATATCGCCGGTAGGACAGAAAATAATTGGGTTAGTGCTAATTATGATAAATAAAAAAAACTTTTTCTTTTGAGTCCTTTCAACGTGCCATATGATAACTGGAATATTGTCTACAAACTTTTTAATTTTTTTTTAACTTAAAAGCAGATTAATTATTAAGAATTATTAAAATCTTTCACAGTTATGGGTAGTTATTTCGGGAGTTTTTATGTAGTGGACTAAGTCAGTTATTCACGTTATTCTTTCCCTGCCATTGTGATTTCTTAATGAGGCTAGTTTGTTGAGCAGAGCAAATTATGAAGTGAAGCTTAGTAAAGATATTCAATGAAATATATAAAATAACAAAATATTTTACTTGTGATCTTTAGAGGAGTAACGCGTTTCTTGTATTAATATATCTATCAAAATGATACAATTATAGAGTTAGTTTTTATCCGGTGCACCCCTTGTTGAAATCTACTATAGAGTACCGGCTCGTGATTGACAGTAAATAGACTCATTTACAACCAAGACAATCATATAAAATCAAAAAAGACACAGTACAGATACAAATAAAATCATTGTAGTAGTTCTCATGTCATGTTTGCAACATTTTTTGGGTCTATATCCTACAGTTATGAAAAAGCCACAGGGTGCTAAATCAGGCGAGTACGGTGGGTGTTCGAGCACTGGAATGTCTCTAGCGGCTAAATAACGCTTCACAGACAGCGCGTCGTCCTGGTACAAGATCCACGGCTTGTTTTTCCACAACTCCTGCCGTTTCTTACGAACTCGCTCTCGCAGCGTTGCTAAAAACTTTCAAATAGTAAGTTTGGTTTACACTGACCCTCTGGAAACCCATTCAGTCATCACGGTTTTCTAGTGCATGAATTGTCGCTTAGTTTCAACATCGTATGTGAATATCCAGGTTTCATCGCAAGTGATGATGTTTTCCATTAATTCAGGCTCTTCATGTAACCTCTCAAGAAAATCTGAACAGATCTATTGACAGACGAGCTTTTGGTCAGGGATCAAATTTTTTGGGACCAACTTCGCACAGACTTTTTTCATGTTCAAGTCGTCATATAAAATTTTTCTAACAGTTTCTTTATCGGCGTTGACAGTCTTAGCAATTATCCGAATGATCATACGACGATATCCGCGCACAATTTCATTTATTTTGGTCACTGTTTGCGGAGTTGAAACAGAGACAGATCGACTGGACGTTGGTCATCTTCGGCGCTTTTTCGGCCTTCAGAAAACCGTTTTATACATTCGAAAACACGCGCACGAGGTAGAGAATTCTCACCATAGGCCTCTTTCAAGAAATTTCACATTAATCCGTTGTTCATGTTTTTCGTCACACATTGTTATCGGCACGAGAAAAAAACACGTTTTTTTCTAATCTCTACAGAAAAATTACTACTACAGCGACAAAAACGTGTTTTCGTACTGGAAGAGCAGACAATTCCAGCTATCCAATGCTGCATTCGTTTTCCACTCTTCCCCTCTAGGACGCGCGCACAGTCTCGTTATTTAATATCCAGACCTCGTATAACCTTTTCCCTGTCTATATAAAAGTATACATTGAATACGTTGTACGTAAGTACTGACATAATTGCTCTCTTTATTAAACGTCAACTTAAATTCACCACTATAAAACCGAGAAAAACATAAGTTTATTACAGAACGACACCAGAATCTAATGAAAATATTTCTAATGTCGACGAACTTTACTAGAATGCACCGGCTCTGACAGTTAAATTCCTGAACGACGAAAACTCTTCGACGGTCACGAGCGACCTGTCAGGTTAAAAAACAAGCCTTATCGACTTGAAGTTTACTTTACCATTTCATACTTTGCTTCTGCTATAATTTACGTTTTTATCTTTTTGTAAAATAATATACAAAGCCATTGAAAAGTATGTTATATATGAATATATAAATAAATGTTAAAATACTTATTTTAGTAAAAAGTTCAGTGTACAGTTGATATTAAATGTATATGTGTGTCGGAATATAAAGCTTTTGTAGACCATTTTTATAATTTATCGTAACAAGTCCATTGCAATAAAATGGATGTACGTAGTTGCTAGACAATGTTTGTGTTTTTGTATTGCCAAACACCTAGCAAAATTTTAAACGTAGCTACAAAAATAGTCAGGTCACGTTAATGAACTAAGGTTATTTCACTACTGATCCATATATTTCATTAGTTTAATAATGAAAGCTGAATTAATCAAATATCGGTCAAACACTTAGATGTTTAAGAAACTCATAAAAAGCATAAACATTTTTGCAACAAAATATACGAGAATAAAGTTTATGAGTGGAATAACCTCTTTGTTTTTGTTTACGTAGCATTACGTTTGAGGAGTGAATATTTGTAAAATGCATAGAAATAGAGGATAACGAAGTTTGTTGAAAGAAGGTATTGCAAAGAATTAACGCTAAAAATTGTAAGTAGTAATTATATTCTTTTAAACCTCTTTACACAAATGTTAATCAGAAAAAATAACAAATGTATATTTCTGAAAAGTTCTCGAATATTATCTGGTATCTTATATTGAAGATATGTATTGGTAAAAGACAAATTTTCTTCAAACTTGTATCTAGATAGAGCTACTCTAATCTATAGAATAGACTAGAGTACTGACTTATTTTCCTATTTTGCAATTAATTTTTTTATTACCTAAGTTATGACATCTGTTAATTGTTTTTTTTTTCACATTTTAATTAGTAATAATTAAAAATGGCGAACATGTGCCATGACTAGTCAAGAAACAGACATCAAAAGAGCAAAATCAAATAAGCTCTCATCTAGTTAATGAAGAAAAATGTGTAGCAAACCCATCTACGAAATATAGCACTTTGGTTGCCAATACTAAAAGAAGACAGCAACGAGAGGATACCAACATTAATGGATAAATAGAAAGTCAGAGACACATCGTCTACAGTTATACATAACCCATAAACACCAAGAATCAGAATTTGATATCAACCCGAGGGTGAAATGACCACCCCCAGAATTCTCAACTCAAAGCATGGCTTTTTTGCCTACAAGATCGAGGCCAAGTAAGATACCTGTCAAATTGGTGTAGCAAACTGCCATTAATCAAATATCCACATTTTAAATAACTTTTTACTTTTACAATAATCTTTGTTTAGAACCTCATTATAAATTATAAGGTTTTATTGTTCAGAAAGTGGTGAAAGATGCTTGTATCTAGATAGATATTGATCAGATCTTTTGAAGTTTGTCTTTTATCAATCACAGAATTATCATTTATCTTCTCTATTGGACCTGTTAAAGGATAAAGTAGTATATTTTCTATATTCAGTATTAAAAGTAAAATAACCCCAAAGAATCTCTCGAATTAAACCCAGATATTTATTTATTAATCCCTTTAGTATAAAGATGACAATAAAAAATACATCAAGAAAAGATATTAAAAATTATCTATTTTAACACATATCCCTAAAAACCAAAAAATTAAAATTCTTATTCCCTGCATACGGAAAGATGCACAAAAGGAAGACCTTTCATTTCTGCTGCTTGATGATGTATAGAATGTTGCATAGATACATTGTTCCTCGTGAAGGTGATAGTGTAGAAGCATTGTTAAATAGGACTAGTTAGACAATCCTTATGGAACAAAAGTTTGACTTTTAATCCTCCGTCATGTGGCGGCCTCTAGTCATAAATTTTAAAAACTATTAACAGAAACTTAATTCACTGCAGAATTCTACTTAAGTATATTTTTAGCTGTCTGATAACTAATGCGAACCTGTACACGGATGCCAGATTGTAAAGAATATATTATAAGACTTAAATAAAATGCTTATTGCTGTTATCGTTGTATGCGTCTTATGAAAGATAACTTGACTATTTCGAGCGAATATTTCAAATTGTTTTTATACTTTGAGACTTGCTAAATATAAATCGGTCAGTAATCTATTTAAATGAAGTAGGTAAATGCTACCTTTTTTTTTAATTTTTATTAGTTTACCAGATATTAAATTTGGTTTTATGATTTGTTAGAAAAGGATTAAATATTTAATTGAAATATACTCGATTGCTATCGTCTTAGAACACTTATGAGAAGGTTTATTTTTTAGTCAAGACTTAAGTTTTATCATTGTTTAAAAAAGAAAATCTTTTTAAACAATGGTTTTATGTATGTTTTGAGAAAATTAAATTTTCAATCTTTTATTCTTTAAAATGACGATTGAAAATAGTAAATTTATGGGAATGGTTTTTTGATAATGGTTTTGAAACAAATAAACAGATCGATATTCCACAACAAGAGGCAACACATATTTGGGGACAAATTAATCTATGTGTTGGGGTAAAAGGAATAATAATTAACAAAACTTTAATAAACAGTAGCCTTTATTTTATTTATTTATATATATATTATAATATACACACCATTTCTCTATTTCTGCTTCATCATCATCAATCAGTCAATCGCGTCCACTGCTGGACATAGGCCTTGACTGATTGATGATGGGCATAGGTTTTGAAACAAATCAACAGATCGATATGCCACAATAAGAGGCAACACATATTTGATGACAAATTAATCTATGTGTTGGGATAATAAAAGGAATAATAATTAACAAAACTTTAATAAATAGTAGCCTTTATTTTATTTATTTATGTATTTTATAATATACACACCATTTCTCTATTTCTGCTTACATTAATGAGAATGTTTTTTTTAATCAACTCGCCCGATCTGAGCTGTTTATTAATGAAATAATTTTAAATTACAAAGTGATAGATATTGCAAAAATTAAATTCGCATTATTTTAATAGTTATATAAAACTTTAAGGTTTATAACACATAACAATTCAAGGTAAAAAAACAAAACAAAATTGTTTACATTAATAGTTATAGAAATTAATTGTAACATTGTTTTCATGAACTAAAATAAGCAATGTATGAGTTGGATATATGTATGAATCAGCAATACTAATTTAAAAATAATAGATCGTGTACAATACAGATACGTAAGAATCTGTTTAACTGCAATGGTATCAACTTCAACAAACGTTATGCTAGCAAAGTGCAATGAAACCCATTAGAATTACATAGACAACTATTAGCACAAAAATACTGTATAAAGATGAGAAACACTTAGTCAGACCTTTTAACAAAAGTGTAAGATAATTATGAAATCTTTTTTCCTGACCAATGGTAATAACGGCATATCTATAAGATCATCAACAAAATCCTCAAGTTCAGAATTATCACTCTGCGAAACAGTATTGGCACTAGTTGATGGTTGTTTTGCTATCGAATATGTATGTAAAACGCGTGGTGTCGTTAACGAACCTTCCTCTTCTACCTCACTATATTTTTTTGGTATAGCAGTAGCGGGTAAATATTTTGCATTTAGATATTTTTGGTCAAAATGCTTACTGCATAGAAATTTTTCTTTTCACTCGGGTAGCTCCAGACTTTCCAATACAGCATTACCTACAACAATATTATTATTAACACAACTAAAAAATAACCAACTTTCTGCACAAAAAAGTAAAAAAAAACAATTTAAGTTCTGTAGTCAAAATATAAATAATTTGGCAGTTGCGGTATGCCAATATATTATGTTTATCCACGAAGGAAGCTAAGCTACCTGAGAAAAGGAATGCCAAACGTGTGTTAATGCGGGTTAATAGTAAAAGAAAGGTAGAAAGTATCGGCATCACTCGCAGCAAAGGAAAAAATATAAATATGTGTATAATATGATCCTTTCGCAAGTTAATATGCTCCATTTCTAACTTTGCTGCGCGGTACTAAAGACGACCAATAGTCAGAAATACATATATATGGTTGCCTTATATCTTATATATATATATATATATATATATATATATAAATATATATATATATATATATATATATATACATTTCAAATGTGGGTTCATAGACGAATGCTGTAGATATCTTGGACAGCAAGAAAAACTAATGAAGAAGTACTAAGGAGCGTCAACAAAGACAGAGAACTGTAGAGACTGTTAAACATCGAAAATGTCTTATCTGGGACATATAGTAAGGGGAAGTCGATATAAAATTTTACAACTGATCCTTAAAGGCAAAATAGAGGGCCGTAGAGGTGTAGGAAGAAAACAAGTTTCTTGGTTAAAAAACATTCGTGAATGGACTCAGATACCAAATGCAGGACAATTATTCCATATTGCAGAAGATCGAGAAGCCTTCGCAATGGTGATCGCCAACGTCGAATAGTTCTGATATGGCACGCGAAGAAGAAGAAGATATATATATATATATATATATATATTATAATATATATAATATATATATATATTATATATATATATATATCAAAATATTCTCGACCGTACTGTGTTAAATATTATTTGCAGTCTCAACAATTGGTCTGTATGAAATAAAACTCTACAATTCTTCAGGAGAAAACTGTAATTTTTATATAATTATTATATGTAAACAAAATGAATATTTCAATACTTACAACTTAAGATTAAAAATTTAAATTTTGATAACATATCCAATTAGATAAATGACATTTTTTTTGATTTTAATTTATTTGGGAGTTATGGTAACCGCAATATTTTATAGAGTGAATTCCCATTGTACATTTTTTAGCGAATAAGTTTTAATAAACAATTACATATTGTGACAGTATTATCCATATAATAAGGTGGAAAAGTAGAATATATGAGAAAGAATCAGGAACATGGTAAATTGATCTATAAAAATGTAATTGATGGTACGTAGTCAGTTATATGGTCTGATGTTGAATAAAATATAAAACAATATAATATGATATGATAGATCTTAATATCAGTATCTAACAACATCAGGACCAATAACTGACTACGTACCATCAATTACATTTTATAGATCAATTTACCATGTTCCTGATTCTTTCTCAATATTCTACTTTTCCACCTTATTATATGGATAATACTGTCACAATATGTAATTGTTTATTAAAACTTATTCGCTAAAAATTGTACAATGGGAATTCACTCTATAAAATATTGCGTTTAACCATAACTCCCAAATAAATTAAAATCAAAAAAATGTCATTTATTTAAATTGGATATGTTATCAAAATTTAAATTTTTAATCTTAAGTTGTAAGTATTGAAATATTCATTTTGTTTTACATATAATAATTATAATAAAATTACAGTTTTCTCCTGAAGAAGTCACAAAATCGTGACGAAATATTGAGAAAATAACAATTATAGTTTCATTTCATACAGACCAATTGCTGAGACTACAATAATATATATATAATATATATATATAATATATATTATATATATTATATATAATATATATATATATTATTGTGATATTTCAAGTCTTGGTGCGCCAAGGAATTAATTAGCTAATTAGTTAATTAATTAATTAAAATTATTTAAATGATATGATTATGACTCTATCACACTTTTTAATTCTCTTATCTCAGGGTTAAATTCGTGCTTCAATATCTATGCTATTACATGTGAAAGGTAAGGTCCAAAGAATACCGGAATAATAAAAAACACATATGATATAACACTATATATTGAAATAAAAATAATGAAATAATTCACACTCAAATGTTTTCAATAAACAAAATCTCATATAATGATTCTCAAAATTTTGTTCTACGTACGTGAACCTTCAAAATTAATGGTACAAACAATATTAATTGAAATCTCAAAATCCCAAATTATTCTAACTCTCCTAATCAAAATATTTATATCCTTTCTAAATTAAGTGTAAAAATTGTGTTATCAATAAAAGAACAAAACTGCAGAAAACAAAAATATCTCTCTCTGATGATGAGTGGTCCAAATCCTTGTTCCTTGTAGACTATATTATCTACTCTCAGGCGCTCCCTAGGTAATCTAGCAATCTTACAACAAATTGTTGCAAGTATATCGTCCTTAATGATCTCCTTCAAAAGCACGAATTATTCAAATTATGATAGCCTTTCTCCTCTCGATAAACTGAATCTCTCGTTGGCCAGAGTGAAAAATGACTCTTGGAATATCTTCTCTTTACGATAAACTGAATCTCTCGTTGGCCTGAACAGTGACTCTTGGAATATAAGTAGAAAAATATGACTTACAATATTTTGCTGCTTCAGCTTCTGTCAGATACACTAACTCCACAAAAACTCACTAACATTCAACACTACTGCTTGCTACCTCTCGGGAACCGCCAGAGAACAATCACTGTTCGTCTTACAGACTTGGAAAACCAACTGACTATCTTTTCTCTCTCAAAAATCTAGCTAAACTTTCATTCCTACATACCTATCCCACCTTTTTTAATCTCCGCCAATCAAAGCTCGTCACAATTCTCCCATTTTTTCATTTCGATAACAAACAAATTTTTACCTATAATTATAAAATTTCCTAAAACTTATTTACAAATAATATTTTTCTACAAT